CTTGAACTTCACTGCACACCTACATGTGTACATTACCAGGTGCTCTGCAAAACATGTGCATAGCAGAACTGCTCTAATGTAAAACCTCCTCCAACAATGTCAATAGTTCAAACAATTTCCCGGATAAACGTATCCTAATGAAAGGTCAGAAGCAATTGCCAACCTTGTCTATAGAAGATCAATATAAAATAAACCGCAGACTCTTCCAATCCGATAGGTACCTCACCCCCTAATTGTAATAATTGTTCACACCAAAAAAATGTGGGGTTTAAAGAGGCGTGCCATCCATTGCATAAATTAGTATAACAAATGTATTTTATTTGTACAATATCATGGTAAAAGTATTATATGTGCAGAAGAGGATGCTTCTATGCAGAGGAACAGCAAAGATTCACATGCCCTCCCTCTGTCCCCACCGCAAACCAGCCAGAGGGAGGGCATGTTAGTTATTGCCGTTCCTCTATATAGGAGCATCCTCTTCCGCCCCTGACACCTAGTGATGGGTGAGTAGCAACATGTGTATGGCTCTGCCAATATCATAAGTTTAATGATGTAATAATGTCTGAAAAAATAAGTTGAACTTGATCAATGTCTTGACATATAAGTAATTATACGTTTTGTATAATGTCACCTACGGTCGCCAGAGGACGCACATGAGCGAAAAGCTTCAGGACAAAGACCTCTAAACACATGCCATCTGAGAACTACAGCTTTGGCTGCTAAAAAGAATGAAGATGAACTATAGATAATATACATGGTTTTCACATTGGTACATGATTGTAAATATGGCTGCGCTAGACATTAGACAAATTGAGAAGGGGATGAAAGCCAACATATTCCTTTAATTGTTTTTGATGATTTGACCATGATATTGTACAAATAAAATCATTTTTTTGATACTAACTTATGCAATGGTGGTACGCCTCTTTAAACCCCCATTTTTTTCTGGTGTGAACAACTTGTCTATAGAAGACTACAGAGGTTGTGAGTCCAGTTCTTTTGTTGATGCAAATGTCAGTGGGTGCTTGAGATAAGGTGACCCCCACTATGGGGTATATGTTAGCCAGTGACATTCATTAACATAGAGATACTTCAGGCAGCTAAGGCCCAGTTCACACCGGGGCGTTTCGGGCGCGCTGATACGCCGACATGAACAATCCCACACATTGCTATGGGGACCGTTCATGTGACTGCCCTGCTCAGTGCGGTCCGAACCGCCCCCTGCCCGAACTACTCCCTGACCCTTTTTTGCTGCGCTGATCAGTGCGGCTTCCTTGCAGCTTTCAATGGAACCGCGCTGATCAGCGTGGTTTTGTGTGTTTTTAATTGCGTTTCTGCGCTGAAACACAATGAAAAACTCCCAAAACCCCCCTTTTGAAATCAGCGCAGAAAGCGCGTTGATCTGCCTCCACCCTGGTGTGATTGGGCTCTAAGGCTCTGGGCACCCCGGGACCCATGGTGGAAGGATGTGCATTGCCCAGAACCTGAGGACATTAGATTCCAAATCTTTTTCAGCCTTGTCATCAATTATATCGGCAACATCTTGTGCCGCCACCAGATTTGGGCAGCTCGGTGATTTGGTAGCAGGGGTGATGCTGAATATCTCTTCTGTGAGTGGTGTGAGGGATGGTGGGGGTGATCATATCATGTCACACTCCTGGAATAATGCATAGCTCCACTTTTACATCTGGAAAGAACATCAGAGTATGTCATTAGAAAGACTTCCTCTCCCTGTCATACTTAGACTAGATATTTGGTAAATGATCACTAGGTAAGTAAGTAAGGCAGGGCATGCATGACTTGTTACAAATCAAATGGAGCAAAGGAGGTTAGTGAAGTTCCCTGTAGCAATTAGGTGTTAGCTTTGACTTTATAACCTGAAAATGCCATCTCCTTTGCTGGGCTACACCCCTATTTCCTGCGCTCTACTTCTTTGCTGTGTTTCCCTGAACATAACGTGAGAACATAACACGTTCTTGTTGTCTGAGTGAAGCTAGAGGATATATATATATAGACCCCTAATCTGAAATACTGGTTTATATCCATTGCAGGACAAATGGAATGGATGGGGCATGGGATCACTTGTCATGATAAAGGGGGACATATGATCTCTTAAACATCTATAGAGGTGACAGATGCATGAAAGTTGACCCTGCCTGCCAAAATGACGTTATGAATCATTGTGTGCGCTTCACACGTCGCTATCCCCGCAGTGCCCAATTATACTGTAAATGACAAAGGCTGTAATCGTGCAGCTATCTTGCATACGATTAACCGTCAGGGGAAAATTCAGAAATTGCCAATATTCCATTTATTTTTTAATTATTAGAGGTATCGATATAGTGCCGACAATTAAAGCAGCACTTTATGTACTGCACATTTACATCAGTCACTGGCCCCAGGGAGCTTACAATCTAAGCTCCCTACCTCACATGCATACATATAGGGATGATTTAGACAGGGGCCTGTTAACCCTCTAGCATGTCTTTGGAGTTTGGGAGGAAACTGGAGTACCCGGAGGAAACCCACACAAGCACAGGGAGAACATGCACACTCCACACAGATAGTGTCCACACGGGAACATCTAGATCCATTACACATGCTGCTGCGTCTACAAAATGCTAATTCTCCATGACATACATATGACGTAAGTGCCATACACTCAGCAAATTTTGGCCAATTCATGATGAAATTCACTCAGTGGGTAGCCCTGTCTATCTCCTCCCTTCTGATATTCTTCAGTTGAAAAATCGAAGCATACGGGATGAAAATTGTCAGCCGAACAGTCACTGCAGCCAATCAGATGTCTGACTGTCATGCACTGGCTGACTGTCAAAATACTATAGCCACAATGGCAGATTCCTCCATCCATGCTATTTAGTGCCCATAAGCTGAACACAAAAATCTATAGGTGTATGGCCAGCTTCTCCCTTCTTGGTAGAGACAACAGTTCTGTATACAACATGAGCATTAACATTGTTCTAGAAAGCTGCAACCCAATGAATGTGAAAAGCAACTCTAAATCAATCCAGAAATTCATTCTAACCCGTTCTAAGTGCGTGATATCGGAATTGATTTACTAAGGGAGCAGATCATGTTGACTTTGTTAAGTGAATTTTCATTTGGTGAATGAGGTGAAGCTGTGCTGACCACAATTATTTATAAGACAAAGTCCTGTTTTTTTCATTAAAGGAGAACTATGGGGTTAGGGCTGTTCCCCGTAGTTCTCCTTAGGGTAACGGGAGGACACAAACTAGCGTCCTCCCGTCACCCTAGGCGCAGTATACCGCGAGCTGTAGCTCACGGTATACTGAGACGCCGCAGTATACCGCGTGCTGCTGCTTGCGGTATACTGAGACGCTGCAGCTGAACGGATCCCGACAATTATGTCTGGATCCGCCCAGCTGCGTGAGTGACAGCTGGCTCTGCCTATGTAGAGGCAGAGCCAGCTGTACCCGCCCCCTCCACCGTCTGTTCTGCCAGTCAGCACTGGCGGAGCGGGGAGAGGGGAATCCAGCCCCTCCCCTGTCACGGCAGAGAGCCGTGACAGGATCGAGAGGTGAGCGAACGCCGGTATGTGTTCGCTCACCTGCCGATCTACTGAGCCGACCTGTGACAGTCTCATTGTCACAGGTCGGCTTAGAACTATGAGGTGAGTGGAAAATCACTCCTCATAGTTCTCCTTTAATTTGCATTCTCTTCACACTTTTCATACTTAACAAGCTTGTCACATTCTTTGTTGTATCTTTTCCTTTATTATTAAAAGAGAACTAATTGTTTTTCCCCATAGTTCTCTTTAGGGTCACAGGAGGACATATACTAAACTTCTCCCGTGACCCCAAAGCTCAGTAAATAACAGGCAGTCACCGCCCACTGCAGGGAGACGATCGGGAAGTGAGTGAGCGACGGTATGTGTTCGCTCACTTCCCGATCGATAGAGCCGACCTGAGACAGATTCTTTGTCACAGGTCGGCTCTAACTATGAGGATGAGTGGAAATCACTCACCTCATAGTTCTCCTTTAAGTCAAACGTTGACACATGCATTTCTTGGTTTAACTTATAGGAACAGAAGGCACAAAAGCAGCATTTTATGGATGTCCAATGCACACTGGAACTGCACCATACACATTGAGCACAAGCCTATAGATTGCTGGTTACGTTCAGGGAACGCGTTCGCTATGCGTACGTACCATAGCAAGTTTTGCATGATCCCCAGTGCAGTCCTTAGCTAGACCTACACATATCATTTTTTCTTGCTCAGCCCTATGGGCTAAATGAAAAAAATGCTCGTTTCCCCCAGAGGGACTATTGTATTCTGACCGCAGTGGGTGTGCTGGTGTCAGAACCGGCTGAGGATTTTCAGACCAGCTCCTTCAACAAAGGTCGATTGAAAAATAGACTTTTCTCTATTGGAGGGGTGATGACTGGCCACACGCTGCTTAGATTTCAGCAGAGTCAGCAGGACTTGTTTAAACTTTGAGCGGCGTATGGCCAGCTTTACCGACCATAGCAGGATAGGAGCATGCATGTGCTGAGTAAGAAAACATACAGGGCTATTCACAAAAGGGTGAGGAGTCTGGAGATGGCAGGAGAAGTAAACAATCTAGGACACCATAGCTGAACTGGAAATATTCTCCAATTCATCTCACTTTCCAGTTCAGCTATGTTGTCCTAGATTGTTCCCTTCTCCTGCCTTCTCCAAACTCTTCACACTGCTGTGAATAACCTGATAATAAATTAAAATGAACTAAGAAAAGAGGACAAATAATGAACAAGTAATGGCTCTGCTGAGTTGAAGGACTAGAACAGAAGAACAGCCCCTTCAGCCAGTATTATCAGCAATGTTTATTTACACACAGATGGAGATGTGATAAAAGAACTGTGACATCCTTCCCCCATCAAAGAAAGCACATTCCCCCTATCCAGAAGACAGAGTTCAGCCTCCAGTGTTGGAGGTGGAGCAGAGCCCCAGTCCCATTCATTGTACCTTCTACTAGATAGATGATCAGCAGCACAGAAGACTGGTCTTGTGACTTACTACACACTCTAATATCCTCCCAACAAAACCAATGTGGAAATGACAAGCAAACCTGGACTGGGAGTCCTACTGCTGGCAGGTAAGTCCTCTGTCCCCTACTCTACTAGTATCGCTTGTGTACAAGTCATTACTCTGCTCCGCATATTGACATCTGGAAGCACATTGAGGGGAATTGATCAAAATGTGGAGCGGCTTTCCATGACAACTAATCAGCTTCTTTCTTTCATTCTCAAAACTTAACTGAACAAACTAGAGAGAGGAAGCTGACTGGTTGCTATGGACAACAGATTCTGTCTGCTCCAGTTTTCAGAAAGTCCCCTCAAAATGTTGTAGGTTAGTCCTGGAAGTGCTACAAATACTTTTAGAAAAGGTAAATATTGTGTTTTCTAAGTATGCAATGTATTTATTTGTTGTATAATAGAGATTTGCTCATTAAGTTTACTCTGTAGGGATAGTGTGTTTATAAATGTGGGAAAGGGTAACGCAAGCAGCTATCAATATCTACTTGGGTACTGGACTCATGTATGGGTCTGCACTTTGTAGGGGGCTCTATGGGAAAAGTTCTATGATTGTTTCCGTTAGCTTTTTCTTCTTCTTTTGTCTCTGATCTGTAATACAAGGATGACCCTCTATGAATGTGATTATGCTCAGTCCTGTCATGGCAATCTTTATAGTCTAGGGGCTGAACGATCTTCTAGCTGGAGCTGCATGTCCTGTCCTTTCCATTTGTGCTGCACATAATGAAGGGGTCACAGATCACCACCGACAGATGCAGACAAGCCATATGTAGAGCTGCACCATTGTTCCTAAACCTCCCCCATCTGTGACACTCTGCACATAGCTCAGCCTGGGTCTGGACACTTTATGATGTCACTCCAGGGAGAGAAACGTGACACCTCTGATATACAAACACTGCAATCCTGGGCTCCTAAAGGGTTGGATCTGGTTGGTCATTTATTACCTGACATTGGGGGGATTTATCAAACCTAGAGCAGGCAGTATCTGGGGCAACCAATCAGCTTCTATCACTTTTAAAGCTTAAATGAACAGAGAAGCTAATTGGTTGCCATGGGCAACTGCCCCAGATTCTTTCTGCTCCAGTTTTGATCAACTGCCCCCAATTCGGTTATAAATACATACACACTGTAGTATATACAGGGGGGAATTTATTAAAACTGAAGCAAATAGAATCTGTAGCAGTCGCCCATGGCAACCAATTAGCATCTCTCTTCAGTTTGCTCAGGTACGATTTGAAAATGAGAGAGAGAAGCTGATTGGCTGCAGTGCAAATCTGCTCAAGTTTTGATCAATTCCCCACGGTGTATGTTAGTATATATCTGTAATGCAGACAATGCTGTTTGATTGACATCTTTGGTGCTACCTTGGTGGCCCTTCTGACTGGCATTACATGACAATACCTCAGCATACAGGTCCTGGTTGTCACTGCTGGCATACGTGGCACATAGTGTCTCCTCTTTCTCTGCGACAATTCTCCAAATTCTGCAGTGTGTCCAAAGCCATGCATGTGACAATATGCCTGTACGTGAATAAAAGACATTTTTGGGACACATTCCTTGGCAGTGCTGGTGACATTCTGTATCTGCAGTGCCCTCCCGGTCCCAGGGAATGCCCCATCAGACAGGTGGTGAAGTATGCCTCCCTTTTTTTAGTACATTAAAGCTTCCTAACAATTTGCTGTACTTGTTGGAACAGGTTCACATGTTACACTAAGGCCCCGTTCACATGTAGCGACTTATCGCGCGATTTCCGCCGCGATATCGCGCATTTTTGTCGCGCGATATCGTGAGAAGTCGCCGGCTAATGATAGTCAATGGAGCTGTCTTAGCTCCATGTCGCGCGTCGCGGTCGCAAGTCGCTTCTACAGGACCCTTTTTTCGGCGGATTTTGCTTTTTTCTATGGAGCCCGACGGAGAAGGTCGCGCTACCGTCGCTGGAACGTCGCCCCGAAAGTCGCGCTATCCCGGCCGCTGCAAAGGTATGTCGCTACATGTGAATGGGGCCTTAACGCACGCAATCCATGCGTTTAGCAGACGCTATCACACATTGCAACAGTCTGCACCCTGGTTGACCTGTGCCATTGCCATTCATTCCAAATGCCATCCAAAACACTTCCAAGCAGGCATGCGTTGCAGTGCTGTGCACAGCATGGTACCAGAATAACTTGCATTGGGTTGCTGTGTGGTGCGCTGCCAAAAAAGGCACAGGCCCGATTTCTGGGCCGTTGAGGTGCATTGCCAGCTCATTTATTTGGAATGGGGCTGCCTAATGCAGCGAGTGTTAATACATGGTGTTACCATGTGTACATTACCACAACGCACCTCAACTGTTTGTTGTGAATCTATCCTAAATGCATAGATCCCATTCATTTAGCACAACGCTACAGCATGAACTGGTGGAAGTGAACTCAAAAAGTGAAGATGTGCCATGGTATAGGAAACATCTAGAAGTGATGGAGTATTATTTCGAGATATCACTAAGGTGCTGCTCACTGTTTTCCTAATTGGAGACTCTGACATAAGGAAGTAAAGCCCTTCCTACACCAAGATGGCTGCCCCCGCACAGAGACACAGTGCAGAACAAGGCATGGTAAGTATAATGGGGAAAGAGCTGCTGCAGGGAGAACCCAGGCAATACAGGCAGTCCCTGATTTACATGCATCCGACTTACATACGACTCCTACTTACAAACGGGGGCTATTACTGTACAGCAGGGGTAGTTGTAATGCTACCGCGCTCTTGCCGACGAGGAGTGCCCTCCTTTTTGGGTCTGGTTCGTAGTACTGTACGTACATTAAAGGAAGTTGGCTCTTGTTACACGTGTACGCAAGGGGTGTCCGCCTCTTCTTCCGGGTCACTGTGAGGTTTTTAGTGCTGTCTGTATTCTCATTAGAAAGATTTAATCTCACTTCCTGTCCTTGAGACAGCAGGAAGTGAGAGGAAATCTACCCCTAGGAAGGGAAATTTACTCCTGTAAGAGTTATTATGGGAAAAAGGTGTCTCCACTGTAGCTTTATCACCAATCCTTGTTTCCACGACAACCCAAAATTTTCAAAATCCAATTGTCATAGGGACAGAAAGTGAGGTGAAATCTTCTGAACAGGGGCACACACACAGCAAAGCAAACGTTACAGGGGGTTAACCCTTCCCTATGCTATCCAAAACATAGCAACAAAAAAAGAATTTTTTGGCTCGAGTTACACTTTAAAAATGCACCTGTTCCAACTTACATACAAATTCAACTTCAGAACAAACCTACAGAACCTATCTTGTTCATAACCCGGGGACCGCCTGTATCGGTGACTAGTTCTTTGCCCTCTGGCAGTCTTTTTTGGGCACATCTTCCAGAGTTCACTTCCTCTTTAATAAAGAAGGCTCACTGGTGGTGATTTCACTTGTTCTGCTCTTTTATGTGTTGTGTTCAGAAAAAACCCATTGGATGTCCTGGATGACATTTGCTGTTACTGTGCAAGTGTCAAAACCGTACCTGTTGAGCACAATGTCATTGAGAATGATAATGATCCCAGACCTATAAAAATGTCACCATCGTGCTACCTTCTTGAATTGATCTTATCGTAATGTTACAAATTACGCAAGCAGGTTATTTGTCGAAAGGGGAAAATCATCACTGAAATCAGACTTCCACTTTGCCATTTAGTCACATAGACAATCAGGAAAGGAGCTGGAGGACAGAACTACTGAAACGCAGCACTATAGGAGGAGCACAAGGTTTGTCCAAAACTAAAGAGAAAACACTTTTTATTTGAATACTTTGGTAACATCATCTTAGAATAGCAAATGTACAAAGATTAAAGATTGTGCAACCCTCTGGACATCAGGGGCCACACTTGTGGAGCCACCACTGCACTGAATGGTTTCCTAATCTGGTTAGATAGGGAGACTGTCATCTAATGTCACAGGACACTGGATATACTTTATACAGTATGATTGTACAATCTCCTTTAGGGCTTGTTCACACCAATTGCGATGCGTTCCAGAGCGGTAGCTGCCGGAACACACTGCAATCGCTCACAAAACTTCCCCCTGCGTTCTGGGGCGGTGCATTGAAGTTAATGGCACAGCAGCCACGCCTCCCCCACCCGCAGTGCGATCGGACGCGTGGCGAAACATTGCCACATTGCCCATCCCACCCCAGAATGCAGGGGGAAGTTTTGTGAGCGACTGCGGTGCGTTCCAGCAGCTACCGCTTTGGAACGTACCGCAAGTGGTGTGAACAAGCCCTGCGTTCTACCAGCAACTTTCTAGTGCAAGGCCCCGCTTAACTGGGAAACAAATAAACATAGAAAACGTAGAAGAAAGATTGCAGAAAAAGTCCAATGGGTCCATCTAGTCTGCCCCTTTTTGTTGTTTTCGGTCTTCTAACCTTTTTGTCTCAGTATAGATCTATACTTGTCATCTCCATCTAGGGGTGGCTAGTGCCATGGGAATGGCTTTTATAAATAAGCCTCTTACTGTTGGCTGACTCACTACCTCTGCTGGAACTCCATTCCAAACATCAACTACTCTTTCTAAGGTTAGTTATAAGCTAGTTTGAGGTCCTGTCCCCGTGTTCTTGATCTTAGATTCATATTGAAATGACTGCCCTCCTGAACCTTGCTAATACTGTGAATATACATACGTGTTTCCCTTCTTTCCTCAAGACTGTGCATATAGTTTCTTAGTATGTCTCTTCAGTCTCGTATGTTTTATCCCTCAGGCCCTTCATCATTTTTGTTGCTCACCTTTGAACTTGTTCTGACTTAGCAATATTTGTTTGTAAGTGAGGTCTGCAGAACCGGACACAATATTCTAAATGGGGTTTAACTAAAGATCTCTATAGTAGAATCAGGACCGCCTTCCTCCTGCTAGTGATCCTTCCCCAGACTTCTATTCTCTTCTATCTGGCCACACTCTTTTCTCATTTTGAAATCTTCTGAAATCAGCACCTCCAAATCTTTTTCTTCTGTAGTTCTGGCCAACACTGTAACCCAAAATATTAGAGGATTCTTTATCTCTAAATGCATTATTTTGCATTCAGAAACATTGAGCTTGAGTTTCTACT